GTTGTTTCTTTCACAATGTATATCTATCAATATACTAATAAATAAAGAAATGATGTTTACCTACCGGAAAAAAAAAATAAAATAAAATAAAACTTTAATATATTATTTTTTTTATGATAAATAATTTAATTTTTTTTGAACTGAACTGTATATATATATTTATTTAAAAACTTTAATTTTATTTTAATAAAACTTATAATTAAATTTTCTCTTTAATCATTTATCTATAATATCTATTTTAATATTTTTTTGTGAAAAAAATTCAATTCATTGTTTTAATTAATAAAATTAATTAGAAGCATTAATTTAAGAGTTTATTTATTATATAAGTTATTTTAAAGTTTTCAAAAGTTTTTGAATTAAGACTTATTGTAATAAAAAGTAAAAGATATTTTTCTTAATCAAAATTATGATATATAAAATTTTTTTAAAAAACGGACATGATTAAAAGGTTGGATTTTTTTTATTTAATAAATTATTTTTTATATTAAAATACATATTGTATGTATAAATATTTTCATAATAATAATAATAATAATAATAATAATAAAATAGATATGTAATTTAACTCAATCATCAATTTCTAGATATACATAAATATTTTAAAAATAATTTGATAATTTATATGCTCGCAATGACACAATGTCACAACCAAAACCTGTATGCAAGATACCCTAACAAGTTTTATGAATTTGATATTTATCTACAGTATTTATCAGCATTTACAGTACAGTAATATTGATCTTGATTCAAATAAAATCCTGTAAATTAGGAGTGATCCGCAATTACAGTATATCGATATTAAATCACTAACGTTATGCGACCAATTCTAAATATCAATTTGATCAATATTTTTATTGGTTTTTAGACAATAATTAAAGGAGAATTTTTTGAAACTTTTAAAAAAATAAGATATGAATTGTTTAATATTTGTCAAGACAAGAAGACTTCATAGTAATGCATGTCTTACAGTTGGTTAGGGTTATGCTTCAAATCGAAACGACCAAAGAACATCGCAGACCGAAAACAATCACTAAGATTGTCTTCCATGACCATGCATGTAATGTATTATCAGAGGCCTAGCCTACACAACCAATCTCAAAGTCTTTTGGGGGCACTTGCAGAACTTTCCGGGAATATCTTGTGCTAATCCGCATTTTTTTTCGTGCAGCATTCTATCTATGCCGAAAGTGTCTAATTGTGTGCATGTATCTGGACAGAACTTTGGGGGAACCACTTATCATTGTTATACTGACGATTTTCGATTGAGCGGATTTCTAGGGATTTGTTAAATCGGGAGGAGGAGGTACCTCCCAGTCAGTGATAATGCAACCATAAAGGTGGATCACATGAAAACTTCATCTATCGTGGAGGCAAAAACGACATCTTACTTTAGAACTTGTGATTGAAAAAGTGCATGAGTGTGCGTTGTACGAAAATTCATCTACCCCCCGGACACTTGAATCGCGAACGAACGAACATATGAGCCTAGCCAACATCAGCTAGCATTCATTGTGCGCAATCAACTGCATCTATGAACACCCTTAGAGTTAGCGTACTGAACGGTTTTATGACAAGTGTATCTCCGGTTGACCAAGATGCATGAAGAGTTACATCAACAGCAAGATAACTTGATTTCACCTCTTTAAGAAGGAAGACGTGAAATTATTGAAGAACTGCGAATGTGCAATTGCAGTTAAATTCACCTATCGGGAATAGGTTGGAATAAAAGCTGAGAAAAACTCGATATGGTTTCTATTGTTCAGCGAGTAGTGGTTTCCTTGTATGCACGTGCAAAGAGAAAGAGCATTGCTTTCGAAAGTTTTAACCCAGCTGTCCACAAATGGCCGAGTGCACGCAATGTGATGCAACATTCGTAACATTCTACTGTAATTTTTCCTACACCATCTTAAGAATGTATGACCACATCCTCATCTTCAATATGTACTCCCGCCATTTCTTTTTTCTTTCTTTTTTTTTTTTTTACGTGAGAAACTGGCGAACACCGAGATGTAATTCCCAAAATAGGAGAGCGCATTTCGGCAATTGAAAAAAAAACCAAGTGATGCCGATCCAAATCACGCCATTTTCGAAAAAATTTTAGGCGCAGCAGACCTAGGAATTTTTTTATGTCTTTCTCATGATTTACAGTACTTCTGGAACATCCCCCATCTCTAATCGATGGCACCTTGTTTGTTTGTGTTTTTAATAGAATTTAATACTTATGCACGTGTAGTGTGAGGAAGAATGATAAGGTGAAGGGAGTCTCTTCGATTTATGCGATGGTTATTTGTGCATCAAAGTTTACAACAAAACGGTATGTACAATAAATGAAATTGGATCACGATGTTTGCTTATCTTACTAGTAAAAATCGGTTTTAAGACAAAAAATCGGAATACCGTTTCGCCTCTTTCACGGAAGTGTATGACGAATTGCGTATTACGTCGCACCATGCCATAATGAGGAACATGAGCATCACGTACAGAGTAAAGATTTGTGCTCGTCAAACGGGGGAAGATGATTTTAGATTTCAAAGAAAAATATCGGAACAGTTATGGCTAGACCGATTCAAACAGCTAATTCGGCATCGCGTGAATATGCATATGGTAAACAAATGATGAGGATGTTACACGGATCTGCCGAAGATGCGATATCTATACTCCGAATATTTATGGAAGTTTATACGCGATGAAATAAGAAAAAGAAAGACCGCTCCACAGATAGCCCAATACTATTCCATAATAATAAACGAATCACGGTGCAACAGACAAGCAAATCTCGGTCTCACAAAAGATCTTGAACAAGAAATATTCATTGCAAACGAGGCAAGACGAAGTGGTTTCTATTTAAACTTGAAGAAAACTTTTCAGCAAGAAAAGACAAATGAAGAATATAAAAGATGTTTGCTAAGTTAAAGAATCTGTACATGCAATTGTAAAAAGAAGAAGGAATCGATAGATCTAATGACAATATTGAATATATGCATCAACAGGCTAAACGAAATATTCATAGTACAACACCATCCGTTCAGGTATGTCAATACAGCAAAAACTCCCCAAGGAAATACGATGATTATATCTACAAAATTTGTTTCAAGATGGAATGTGACACTCGATGCGGATATAAGGGGTGCACAAAGGAATTAAATAAGATATCCGGAAGTGATGCGTGCCCACCAAATATTTGATATTAGAGAATATTAATAAATACAACGGTTTAATTTCACGGTGATGGTTGTTAGATTAAATTAAAGGGTTATTGCGACGAGCGTCACACTATTGATCAGTCGGTTTAAATCGTTTAATAGGTGGGCGTGGAATGACAACGTGTTTGGTGTCTCTTGTGACCACGTGCGGACGTTCGGCATCTTTGACCCTCTTCTATATTGAGACTCATGTCTTTACCCGTGGCCTTCTTGAGGACCTCGTAAAGGTGCTTGGGTTGGTTCGCTACCAGGATTAGTTGCACGTTTGGTTCACCCGAACCTGTAGTTTTCCCGCTATTAGAAAGCACGAAACCAAAAACAAAAAAAAAATTCGACAACCGAACGAAAAGATTATAAAAGAGGGTGGTAATGAAGAATGAATGCATACCTCGACAGTAGTGAACCTCCGAACGAAAAGAATAGTGCCATCAAGATGAGCAATACGTTCTCGAAAACATTATTTACGAATTCCGATAATATGCTATTGGACTCGAGTTGTAATTTTGGCTTGGCCATCTTTATAAATGTTTCCCGTGTAAAAAAAAAAAAAAAGTATTGAAGAGATGAGGTTCTTGTATATGAGAAAGGTGAGGATTTCTTGTATGCGAGAAAAAAAAAAAAATTTTTTTTTTTGATATGAAATTTTTTGGTTGGAAGAAATGAGATATTGTGGCTTTATATACGATATTAAAGTAGTAGTATGAATTATCAGTCACCTTATTTGGAATAATTAATATGTAGATGAAGTATAAAATAAAATAACAAAAGGCGGTTTAACGTCAGGGGGATGGACAGCTCCAAGAAAAATTGAGTAACAAAGTGGGTAAAGATGAGCCTTTTATAAATTGATAAGTTCCACCATTTTGAAAAGAGGATTGATTAGTTATTTACAGTATACAGTATACAGTATACTTAGGATAATTGTTCATTCAGATAACAAGGGCACGTTCTTCATAATGTAAAATAAGACTTGGGAAGGAACTGCGAATCTTTTGCTTTTTTTGGAGGATTGACCACATTAAGGTTACCTCTCGAATTTCCCCAAACGATAACTGATACACTTTGTGATAATGCATGTGGAGCATTCACTATAAGAAACGAAAATGTAGTGTACAGCGCAGTATGACCTTCTGAACGGAAAAATAAAGAAATTCATCAGCCTGAAATAGCAATCACATTTTGATCTACGAAAGGAAGGTGCGCGGTGAACGATGAATGATTTCTTTCTCATAGTTGTTTGGTTCGATCCCTTTGACCTCTCATTTAACATGAAATTCAGCCACGTACTTCACGTACTTGATAGTTTATGTACCGTTGCGTAACTGTACGACATTAAAACGCTCACGCTCGACCTTATATTCCCTTAAAGTTATGGTCCTAAATGTGCGACATAGCTTATTAACGGATCGCTGGAATTCCAAAGAGTCATTAGAAGAGGTTGCACAAGCTTTATTTCTCTGACGCAATGGTTGGCTGGACGGATGATATCACTTCCGAGTCTTTCATTACCATTGTGTGTTACGTGTTCGAATCATTCGCTCTTTACGCAGGTAATAATAATTCACACACACTATATCGAGAAAAAAAAATCTTTTTTCCTTATGAACGATTCGCGGAAAATTCACACGCCATCATGCACTCCGTCTTTTTTTTTTCTTTTTAAGTTTCATCTCGATTTAACTATTTCCTTTGTTGATTCGTTTTTCAATGAGTCATCCACACGCAGACTTCTAGAACAGATGAATCCTTGACGACACACCGTTATAGCGGATTACTAAGACGTTTGCTACGCCAACTTTATTATATTACGTGCTCCTTAAAAAGAATCGTAACAAGAACTCCATTGTCAAATGACGAATTATCTAATTAGGGATAAAAAAACCTGTTGGAAGAGACACACATCAAAGACGCTTTGTTGCAAGATTTAATTAATTGCCTTACATTACGTATACTCTTTGTCAAATAATAATAATAATAATAATAATAATCCGAGATTGATCATGTTTTATTATTACCCTGGATCCATTAGGTTTCTCTCTGCACTTGCGTTAATAATAATTTCATAATTTATGATATACATGTAGGAAATATACTTATGTGCAATATATGGAAAGTATTAATGGTAATCCATCAAAGATGGTCACCACCCTGTATATTTTCGTCATACGCAGCCATTCCGCCCTCGGAATTCTCATCACATCAAGAAACATTCGAGTTTCAATAATGAGGATTTCATGTACGTGTGTTACCAAGGAAAATGAATTACCATTCCGCCACAGGCACAAGACTTGAGGAAACGGAATGGGTAATTCACAAAGTTCAAAGAAATATAAATGATTATATCAATTATTTGTTTGTTTGAATCATTACAACAAAAATATACTGTATAAGCACAGCACACTATCTTCATTATATACGTTCAATACTAAAAAAAACAAGAAATGATATAAACAAATGGGAATGTTGTATATAGCTGCATGAATGTTGATAACGTGAACGTGAAAAAAAATCATAACAAAAGACATACTTCGAACACAAATCTCAAATCGCTATATATTTTATGGTCTAATTTTTATTTATTATTTTCCTAAATATTTATGAACACGATACTTTCTATCAAATATTTAGGTAATTACAATAATACTAAAAAAAAAAAATCATCATAATAATAATCGATTGGAAATAAATATACCGTGTTTCTAAAATCATATCATACAGTATATGTATTTTTTTTGCACATACTGTAAAGATTACCTAAAATTCCAGCATATACTATAAATAAATAAATAAATAGAATATTGTATAAAAAAAATATTTATTTATTTTATTTACCCCAGTTGAACCTTTTTTTAGAATACAGTAGCTATTTTTAAAAAGTGAAATTAATAATAACAAATTTTTTTGTTACAAGATTTAATGAGAATACCTATCCTTTATAAAAAGAATTCTTTTTTTAATAAAATTTTAATGCAAAAATACAATGATTCTTGGATTTCTTAAATATCATTACCAAATCACTTTATCCATTCATCGATGTTTATTAAAAGATTAAATAATAATAATAATAAATTGATTTTTGGTTTAAACATTTTTTTGTAATTAATTATTTGTAATTTACATAATATGCAATATATATATTTGCTTTTTTTTTTATATGCAATGTAATTCTGGATGCAAATACAACCACATGGACTCGAAATATTTTACCAATTTTACAATAAGTTAAATGAGTTAAACCAAATTTTGTAAAAATATAAAAATTATAAAAATTATAAAAATTATGCACTGTACAAATTGTCTAGATTCTAGAATGGGTCTTATCAGCAAATCAAATCGTTCTAAATTATGTCACCGTGAGATCCATAAAAGTATAAATACTCAACCAAAATTTGTAATCTTAGGATTAGTCAAAATTTCAAGATACCGTTGTTCTTTGAATATTCCTTTTTGAATTTATCAACGATATCAAAAAAGCAGAAACATGAAAAATGACATCAAATTGTATATTTTGTAAAATAGCATCAGGTAATGATGCGTCAACCACTCTACTTTACAATGTAAGTATTTGAAATTCGATTGAAAACTTTGGCATTAGATTTTTGCGTATCTCGTCAATTCGTTACGACTTCAATTGATATCTCCCGTTCTCATGCTGTCTATTTTTTATCCTTAATTATTACCAAACCAGGACGAATCGGTGGTAGCATTCAAGGACATATCGCCAGCTGCCGAACATCATTTCCTGGTGATACCCAAGAAGCACATTAAAAACATAAATGAACTCAAGAAAGATGACAATGAGTTGGGTGCGTATTGAAAAAGACCATAAAATTATATTCGCATGCGAATTGTGATTCGATTTAATTTAGTTTCATTTTTTAAGTTTCACTTTATAGAAAAAAATATTGTTATCTCATGCATACCAAACTAATATTTCATGTTGTTCGATTATCATCTACTTTCTATCCACAAAATCATTTGATTGAAAGTCAAGAATATGAAGGAAACAGGATTAAAACTTATTTCCGAAAAGCTTGGTGAATCACAGTCTTCGATCACGTCCACGGAATATTTGTAAGTTGGTGTTTTTACCAATGATTCGTTCGAAGAATGTCGATTTTTTTTTTTTTATTAGTGACTTTTGATCAAACGCAATTAGGATTGGATTCGTTTCGCCTCCATTCAACTCAGTAGCACATATGCACATGCATGTGCTCACTAAACCAATAACATGTTGGTGGCCAAGATCCGTGGTATTTGGACGTTGGATATTTAAAAATGTTGATGAGGTTATTAGTAAATTGAATGGCTGATGATTTCTGGATGAGCTTGAAATAGATTGTCATACTATGATGTGGTTTGAAGAGGTGATTTGTTAATAGTGAAGAGAACGGTGATGGTATCGACTGGTAAGAAAGCGATTAGATCAAATGGAAGACGAAATGTTAATTCCAAATGTTTTTTATTCACAAAGTAAATGTAAAGATTTGATATTTAAAAGTTTAATTGATGGGTCTTGTTGAAGTTTCACATTGCAAAGAACAAAATGTTTTCATGTTTTTAGAAAGCTCATTTTTTAAATTGAAAAATGTGAACCTGGCTTTGATGTAATATACTGTACATCTTGATGGAACTTGTTTTTGACGGATGTTACATAATCAAGGTCGCCAAGAAAAACTTGGTATCCTGATTTTCGTTCTAGTTGCCATCATGATGTATGTAAACAAATCCCTAATTGTATCGAATGTATTTTTTTTATATTATAATAATATTAGCTAATTGGATGGATGATATGTTATGGCCAAGTGCTAAAATCATAATACTTTAAATACTTATAATTATACTAATGCCATGATTTAAAAATCTTTTTTAAAAAAATTAATAAGAAAAGAATCATTAGAAAAAGAAATTAATTGAAAAAAAAAAAAAAGATTCAACTATACAAGTTTATCTTTTTTGCAATAATTTTTTTTACAATGAATAAATAAATATACACGTGTGTATTACGAGATATAAATAATATATACTGTATATATACTGTATATACTGTATATATAAATTAATTGTTATCTACTGTAATTATACTAATATTATCAATTTATACTATGAAAATATACTTAGAAAACCAATCTCAAAAGATTAATGATTATCTAAAACTATGAAATTATTATAAAATTAAAAATTAATTTGTCAGTAAGGTTATTATCTATTGCTAAAATATTAAAAAACTTATGAAAAATAAAACTTGAATTGAATAATTATTTTTTATAAGTTTTGATTTTTTTATTTTATATCTAAGAACAGCAATAATATAAAGGCTATTTCTAATTTTTATTTTCAAAATTTTGTAAAAAATATTTACTAATTGATTTAAACTTATTGATATTTAATTTAATAATTTTTTTAATTTTTTTTTTATTAAAATTAATAATTATTTTTAAGTTATAAAGAGATTGGAATTTAAATTATTATTATTAAATAACTTTAAAAAAAATTAAAAAAAATTAATATTAAAATTAATAATTTGATTTAATATATTATATAATACTAATAATAAAATTATAATAAAAAATAATATATTAAAATTTATTTTAATATTAATTAAGAATTGAAATAAATCAAAAAATTTTTTAATTTGTTTTATAATTTATTAAATTTATTATTTTAAAATTTTAATTTAATTTATAACTAGTTTTTTTGAAAACAAATTTAATTTAAATTTATTATTTTGAATTTTTTTTTCAATCAAATAAAATTGAATATATATAATATAAATTTCAAATTATTAAAAAATTATATTAAAAATTAATGTTGATATAAAAAAATTTATATAACTTTATATTTTATATATTTTATATAATTTAAAAAATAATTTAATTGTATTTTTTAAATAAAATATTAAAAAAAAAAACTTTTTTTCTATATATAACTTTTTTCCTTAAAAATTTTTTTAATAATAATTTTTTTTCAAAATTAAAAAAACAAATATTTTTTTTACCTTTCAATATTCAAAAATCCTTTATATATATATATATTTTAGTATAAGAACTTCAAAGAAATTAAAGAAGCATACTAATATATTAGAATAGAATCTTAAATAATAAAAAAACAAGTTTAAAAATCTTATTTTTTTTTTAATTGTATGAAAAAATACCTGTAAAAATTATTTCTTTATAAATTTTTCTTGAAGTTCTTTTTATTTTTTCTTTTTTTTAATATACAACTTTTTTTAAATAATTATATTTTTTGTTTAGAAAAATTTTTTTAATCAAAAAAATCAAACTTTATATCAAAATTTGTTTATATTATTAATTTGAAAACTAACAATATATTTAATATTTATTTCACACTATTACTTAATATATTTTATTATATTAACAAAAATTAAAAATTTTTATTCAAAAAATTTCTCATCAAAAAACTATAATTAATTGATTAATACTTCAAATCCAATCAATTAAATTTTATTAAATTTTAAAACAATTCTATATAACAAAAACATCATATAATAATTAATATAAACAAATTATATTTTAATAGTAATAATTAAAACAAGATTATACTACAAACAAACAAATAAATCAATCAATATATTAATAAAAATATTAACAATTATAACAATAATATATTATTCAAATAATATATAAACAATATTATTATTTACTT